TGATAGAGAAGTGAGGTCCTTTATCAGCTCTGCATCATCCTTTGATTGACGGTTTGGGTAGTCATCTATAATGTCCAATGCTGGCGCAACATGTCCTGCCTGTCAGAAGCCTATATCTATAGGTGGCCTCTCTATGCAGCTCGAGACACAAATTCGGACGTTTATAGCACGATATTACGAGGGTTGGACAGAATGCAATGACCCTACATGCGGCTTTCGTACGCGTATGATGGGTGTTTATGGCCGCCGATGCCTGCGTCCTGGATGCCAGGGTACAGTCTCTTTTGAAGTACGTGTTTAATTAAATTGTGCTTTGAACCCGCCTTTTACTCAATCTCTTCAAGTATTCTGACACCCAGCTCTACAACCAACTTCGGTACTTTTCATCCCTCTTCAGCAGTGACAGCATCAAGAAAGCTGCCAAAGGTTGTTCTGCCACGGAACAAGGTTTGTTTCTAATATTCGACCACAATTCGATGTTTTATATCGATATCCTTGCAGCAACTGTATATCATCTGATTGTTCAGAACAACGAATGTCTGGAGACCTTGATGGACTGTGTCAACAGATATCTGGATCAATGTGGACGCCAATGGGTCGACCTCAGTAGCATTTTTTCTCTTATCAAACTCTAGCTTTCGTAAATGTTCTGCTTTGCGCTTTCGTCACCTGCTTTTGCATATTTTTCGTAGTTGTCGATGGACATGTATTTCTAGGCATGTCAAAAACAATTTTGGATTTCCGCTCAGCTGAAGTCTATAGTTTTAAATGTCATCCGTTGCAACAGGCATTAATGGGGTAGTGGTAACCTGGGTCGTTGCCATGCGTTGTTCATGTCGACCCGCCGGGGGTTCGATTCCCCCTTAATGCATTACTATTGGGAAGATTTTTCTTTGACTCAGTGGGTTTACCCATCATTGTACTGGCAAAAAATAGGAAAAAGGGAGGGAAAGGAGGGAAATCAAGAGGATTTGAATGTACAGTTTGTCCCCTTATCAACGCCGCAACATCTACTTGTCTGCCACCATTTTTGGCACAAAACAATGCATAATTTGGTACACATTCAGTCATAATTAAGAAAATACATATTATTCACTGAATCACTGTTGATGCTCATGTCTACGCTACGTGTTGAGCTCAATTTTATCCACCAAGCTCCAGCGGAAATTGTCGAGAAATCGGTTCTGGACTCTGGTTTGACTTTCGTATTAAATGACCTCACCGACTGACACAACTGAGCTCTTGTTATGAAAATGCTGATGATGTGCAGTAGGATAAGGCTATTATAGATCAGTGATGAAAGCTGAAGTAGCGGTGAGCAACAGACGACTAATATTTGAGTACGCAGTAGCGAGAGAATGGCCGCAGTGAGAGCACATGCACATGGTGGCTGTCTCAATAACACTTGCTCAACCATTGAGTGTGAGAGCTGATACAACGTCTAATTATATTCATGTTCATGATTAAAATACATGATGAGGGGAGCATGGGCGAGGATAGCAATGGAATGATCAAACAGGATAGAATGACTACACAAGATCACAGAGAAGAAATAAGTCCATCTCATAAAAGTACATTTTGAACGATCAGTCTCTCCATCTAACCAGAGCACATCAAGCATGCCTCCTTGTTCTCCAGCGAACACTGAAGTTGCGCGTCCGCAAGCTCTCGATCTTTTTGACGCTGAAGTGCAGCAGCATACTCAGGATCAACCTGAGCCGCTGCCTGGATCTTGTCGTCCAATGATAGAGAGGCGAGGAGTTCGTCAGCAGTTTTGGCGTTCTGGAAGGC